GTGTGTGTGTGTGTGTGTGTGTGTGTGTGTGTGTGTGTGTGTGTGTGATGTATTCGTGTGTCTACCTATGCCCACGAATGGAGACCACAGACCCAATATTGACATCTGGCCTCTACATATATGTTCTTATACACATAAACACAAACACATACAGAAAGAGACAAGCGGATCTCTGAGTTCAAGGCCAGCCTGGTCTATAGAATGAGTTCTAGGACAGCCAGGGCTACCTAGAGCAAACCTGTCTCAAAAAAAAAAAAAAAAAAAAAAATCTAGCACTATGGATGGAGAGATGGCTCAGAAGTTGAGAGCACCAGCTTTTTCAGAGGACCCAGGCTCAATTCCTAGCATCCACATGGCAGCTCACAACTGTCTGTAACTGCTCTGTCACTGTCCACCTTATTTTCTAGAGACAGGGTCTGTCGCTGACGCTGGAAGTTAGATGGCGTCCAGCAAGCCCCAGCCATCTTCTCTCTTCGCACGCGCGCGCGCACGCGCACACACGCACAGCCCTGCGGTAACAGGTACACACAGTCACACTGAGCTCCCTACACGGATGCGGGCGCCTCAACTCAGATCCTCATGCCCACCCCGCCGAGCCATCCCACAGCCCCGTGCCGTGTGACCTGGAGCACGTTATGTGGTCTCTCGCTTTCCTCTTGTGACAAGTGGTTTCTGTGAGCACTAACTGAGCAGTGGATGGGCAGCCTCTGACCCGACCCCTGTCTGTGCCAGAGCTCGGCACGCATGCATCTTGTCAGCATTCCTGCCGTCATCACAGCCATCTTCGCCGAGTGCGGCCCGGTTAGGAGGGGCAGGTGAGGAGGCAGCAGACAGCTACCGACTCTTCTCCCGGCATGTTTGTGTCTCCCCCCGCTCTCGGCAGCCACCCCAGGGACTTGCGGAGTTGCAGTAAATTATGTTGTAAGAGTCTGGGCTGAGCCAGCTTCCTTTCATTCACTCGCAGCCATGCGCTGGGGCTCTCCGGGTCCCAGGAGCCCCTCTCCTTTGCCCCTAACCAGAGTCTAGTCTCCCGGCTCTGCCTTTTGAGACAGACTTTCTCCTCTGATCAGATCAACTTCTAAATAAATATTAAATTATGTCTGGACGTGTTCCCCTGTTCCTTTCAAATCTAAGTAAATCACTTTTTTCCCTTTGTTGGAATTCACAGCCCTACAGAGGTCTCCTCAACAGTATCTTGCAAACCCTCACAATGGCAAGATTTTTTCTCTAGATATTTAAAATAAAGGCCCTCCTATTGGAATTTTGTAGTTATATTTTTATATTTATATTCCCGGATCTTTGTAAAATGTGGGTTGCCCAGCCCTCTGCAACCCCCGCTTTAGCTGCAGTATTGCATAAGAAATCACAACACCTGCTCTTAAACATTACTAGAGTTGGTGACTGAAGATACGCACCCTCCCAAAAGAGAAGGTTATATTGTAGAAAAATATACACTGTCTGGCTGTGAGGGTGGACAGGTGAAGTGCTCAGAAGCCTTGCGTCAGGGCCGTGGTGTGCAGCTGTGTGCTTTGTACACTGCGGTCTCACCGTGGGCACTTTCCAGCCTGGGGTGGCAGCCTTTCGTGATTGCGCAGTACAAGGGCTGCCTGTGTACTCAGAGAAGCCAAATCTGACCCAAAGCAGCCTCACTTCTGTCCCAGTGCAAACCTTGTGTAGAGAAATGCTACTCTAAAAGCAAATGGAATACCGGCTTTCTTCCTCCTCTGCACCCTTAACTCCTTGACCACCGCAGCAGCAGCCTGGTACATGCCTTTCAAACCAGGACCTTTGTGTTTCTCTAGGTCCATGGGAGGAACCTCCTGTCCATTGACTATGACCGGAATATCCGGACGGAGAAGATCTATGATGACCACCGGAAGTTCACCCTGAGGATCATTTATGATCAAGTGGGCCGTCCCTTCCTGTGGCTCCCGAGCAGTGGGCTGGCAGCTGTCAACGTCTCCTACTTCTTCAATGGGCGCTTGGCTGGCCTCCAGCGCGGGGCCATGAGTGAGAGGACGGATATTGACAAGCAGGGCCGGATTGTGTCCCGCATGTTCGCCGACGGGAAAGTCTGGAGCTATTCCTATCTTGACAAGGTGGGTGATCAAGTTGCATGGCCCATCAGCAGGGCTTCTGCCCTGCTTTCCCCCACCATCCTGGTAAATGCCCTCTTCCGGCCAGCCTGAGCTCTCTAGCCATAAGTTATCTTAACATTTTTAATAACTCCACATGGCTCCCTTCATGTTCCCCCGACACTGGGAAAGAGAAAGAGTCCCCAGGAAACTAAGCTATGTTATTCATAGATCGGCACTATTACCATTAAAAGAAAAAAAATGCTAGACAGCCAGTAATGGCAAAAAGGATGGATTGTTTTATTTAATTAAGAAAACAAAAATGAAAACAGAAAAGGCAGTGATGTTGAATCAACAGAACCACTGACAGCAAGACAAAGCATTGCACATAAATTGGGAACTCTGCTTGCCCTAAATTAAGCCGCTAGGGGAAGGAAATCTGCTGGAAACTCAAGTACACACAGCTACACCTTCCCACTTCGGCCAGAGCAGCCAGCAGATTCTCTCTGATAGTCCCCTGTGTCTGAAAGCATGGATGTGGGGATCCTTGCTGGAGGCAGGCCTCGTGGAAGAACAGAATGAAGAGGCCTTCTAAGAGCACTTGCTGGGACCTTGAAAGGCCTCCTTGGCCATCTAGTCACTGGGCAGGTCCTTTAGTCTGGTTCGCCCATGGTACAGGCTGGAGTTTTCCTCTCTGACCCAAACGTCACATGGATAACTCGCAGAGGCTGGGGAGATAGCTCAGCGAGTAAAGCGCTTGCCACTTCCATGTAAATCCCCAGAATGTACATGGAATTTACATGGTGGCACGCACCTGTAATTGCAATCCTGGAGGAGCGAGCATGGAGACAGGAAACTCTTGGAAGTTTGACCGGCCAGCCTAAACAAAATGGCAGGTTTAGGTCCAGTGAGAAACCTTATTTCAAACAATAAGGTAGTACGGCATGTGGTGGTATATGTCTTTAGCTCCAGCCCCTTCCAGGCAGACCCAGCAGACAGATCTCTAAGAGTTTGAGGCCAGCCTCGTCTATAGAGCCTCAGATCTGCTCTGAGCTAGCCCCATGAACCATCAGTGCCGTGTGAGCCTATTCAGTCTTTGGTCCAAGGCCCACACAATCGAATGTGGTGGTACGTGCCTTAAATCCCAGTGCTTGGGAGACGGATGGAGTCAGGTGGATCTCCGTGGGATGCAGGCCGGCCTCGTCTACAGAGTGGGTTCCAAGGCAGACAGGGCTAAAGAAAAAGAAAGGAAAGAATGAAGGAGGAAGGAAGGAAGGAAGGAAGGAAGAAAAATGAGGAAGAAAAGAAGAAAGGAGAAATGAAAGAAGGAAGGAAGGAGAAAGGCAAGCAAGAAGGAAGGGGGAGGGGAAAAGGAAGAAAAGAAGGAAAAGGGAAAGGAGGGAAAAAGAAAGGGAAGGAAAGAAAAATGGGGGGGAAGTCCTCCACCCTCCATGGTTTTGAAATGGGGTTAATTCTCTCATCCGGGTGCTTGGTCAAAAAGAGCCAACTCATCTGTTCCTATTTCCTTCCCAGTCCATGGTCCTCCTGCTGCAGAGCCAACGTCAGTACATATTTGAATATGACTCCTCTGAACGCCTCCATGCAGTCACTATGCCCAGTGTCGCCCGGCACAGCATGTCCACACACACCTCCATTGGCTACATCCGAAACATTTACAACCCACCTGAGAGCAATGCCTCCGTCATCTTTGACTACAGTGATGATGGCCGCATTCTAAAGACATCTTTCCTGGGCACTGGGCGGCAGGTGTTCTACAAGTATGGAAAACTCTCCAAGTTATCGGAGATAGTCTACGACAGCACTGCGGTCACCTTTGGCTATGACGAGACCACCGGTGTTCTGAAGATGGTCAATCTCCAAAGCGGGGGCTTCTCCTGTACCATCAGGTACCGAAAGGTCGGGCCCCTTGTGGACAAACAGATTTACAGGTTCTCTGAGGAAGGCATGATCAATGCCAGGTTTGATTACACCTACCACGATAACAGCTTCCGCATTGCCAGCATCAAGCCTGTCATAAGCGAGACCCCCCTTCCTGTTGACCTCTACCGCTACGACGAGATCTCCGGGAAGGTAGAACATTTCGGCAAGTTTGGGGTCATCTACTATGACATCAACCAGATCATCACCACCGCCGTCATGACACTGAGCAAGCACTTTGACACCCATGGGCGCATTAAGGAAGTGCAATATGAGATGTTCCGGTCCCTCATGTACTGGATGACCGTGCAATATGACAGCATGGGCAGGGTCATCAAGAGGGAACTGAAACTGGGGCCCTATGCCAACACCACAAAGTACACCTATGACTATGATGGGGATGGCCAGCTCCAGAGTGTGGCCGTCAATGACCGACCTACCTGGCGCTACAGCTATGACCTCAATGGGAACTTGCACTTGCTAAACCCAGGAAACAGTGCTCGCCTCATGCCCTTACGCTACGACCTCCGTGACCGGATAACCAGGCTGGGGGACGTGCAGTACAAAATCGATGACGATGGCTACTTGTGCCAGAGGGGGTCTGACATCTTCGAATACAACTCCAAGGGCCTTCTAACAAGAGCGTATAACAAGGCCAGCGGGTGGAGCGTGCAGTACCGTTACGATGGCGTGGGCCGCCGAGCTTCCTACAAGACCAACCTGGGCCACCACCTGCAGTACTTCTACTCTGACCTCCACAATCCCACACGTATCACCCACGTCTATAACCACTCCAACTCCGAGATCACCTCGCTCTACTATGACCTCCAGGGCCACCTCTTTGCCATGGAGAGCAGCAGCGGGGAGGAGTACTACGTTGCCTCGGATAACACCGGGACCCCCCTGGCTGTGTTCAGCATCAATGGGCTCATGATCAAGCAACTGCAGTACACGGCCTATGGGGAGATTTACTATGACTCCAATCCGGACTTTCAGATGGTCATCGGCTTCCACGGGGGCCTCTATGACCCGCTCACCAAGCTTGTCCACTTTACTCAGCGTGACTATGACGTGCTGGCCGGACGCTGGACATCCCCCGACTACACCATGTGGAGGAACGTGGGCAAGGAGCCGGCCCCCTTCAACCTGTACATGTTCAAGAACAACAACCCGCTGAGCAATGAACTGGATTTGAAGAACTACGTGACAGGTGAGACTTTGTCGCCCGGGTGTGGCGGTAACTTCTGGTCAGGTGGCTGTCCTGGGGGACTGCTGGGCATCAGGGGAAGGATCTTACACCTGATGGTAGAACTCCAGTGCTGGCAACCCAGGAAAGCAGAGGCACAGGAAGGGGGGATATCCTGGGGCATTTCCTGACCACTTCACGTCTGTTCCATTGAAGTGACTTTCCTGAGAGCCCTTCCTACCCCAGCAGAAGGGGTTGGCTGAAAGAGAGGCCCACGTCTGAAACATACAGTTCGAATTCTCTCCCTTCCGTTAATAGGCCAAAAGGCCTAGGGCAAGTGGCCCAGCCTCTCTAGGAAGTTTCCTCCTCTGTGAAGGGCACTCCCATGGAGAATGACGAGAAGTGACCTCTGTTCTAGGTAAAGCCCTGGCCTCACTTCTCCTGTGTCGTTAACGTTATCACCAATAACAAAGCAAATGAGTTAGCACAGGTACCAGGTGCCTAACCCCCTGTTCCTGACCTCCAGAGGTTTCCCTGGTGAAATATGTAGACAGACAGACAGCAGTGGCACAGATGGAAGTCTCATAGATGTCTGCTCAGTTACTTATTCAAAAAGCATTCGTAGAGTAACACCATATGACATTCCTGGGATACAATGGTGGATACGCTACTTTTCTCTCAAGTAAGTGTGTATAATGTGTGTGTATGTGTGTGTGTGTGTGTGTGTGTGTGTGTGTGTGTGTGTGTGTGTGTGTTTGTGCATCTGTGTGTATATGTGTACTGATTCATATTTGAAAGATGAGGCTTAATATAGAAGGACCTGTGTCAAATTGAGCCTGAAGAAGGAAAGTGACCTACCTTGACTCAAGGCTGAAAAAAGACTATAAACAAAAGTCAGGAGGACACAAGAAGCTCGCAGATGGGTGTGTACAGAGGCTCTTTCAGGGAAAGTTAATCTACTTCACAAAATAATCAAGAAATCTGTGAAATGAGGTTCCATGCCCACTCTTCTATTCATCTATCCCTCCACCCATCCAGAAAAGATGCTGGAGTTTTTTTAGGGATAGTAGACATAAGATAGTTTGGAGCAAGGCAGAGCGCTTATTCTCAAGAAAATAGAAAAAGAAATGGATGGATGGATGGATGGACGGACGGATGAATGGACGCAGATGAAGCAGGTCTATTGGGTCCAACTTCCAGCAAGCAGTCAAGGATAATATCATCTGGCCATAAATTCTATAGATGAATAATAAAGAAAACCCAAGACCAAGGCTCCCCAAGTCCCAGAACACCCACACTTCTTAGTTCTGACCATAAGGATCTCAGGTGACCCTTTGTCTACCCCACCCCCTAAAATGGGAAAAGAGGCCACAGGTGCCTGGAGCACAGGGCTGCCTGGGTATATTCCAAGGTCAGCTGTGGCCACACAATGTCACTGACAAGTTTCACACCATTAGGAATTGAAACCAGCATCTACGTCCAGGCAAAGCAGCCGGAACCTCTTTAACCCAGGAGCTACAGCTAAGCTATATGGTGCCCCACCAGGAGCCTCTGCCTACCCTGATGCCCTGCCAAACCTTCCTCTTTTCCCCATTGCTTGGCAGGATTTTGTCCCCAACTCACTGTACCTCTCAGGAAGACACACACACATGCACACACACATGTAATTGTGATGAATAAAACAGGACACGGGTTAGCTGTAGAGTGATAGAAATGCCCTCTCTCCTACACAGAGAGCCTTGCTGAGCAGGTGACATTTGTGTAGAGACATTTTTGAGGTGGAAGAGAGAGGCTAAGCGTGTTTGAGAAGAAGAAACCCAGTGAAGGCAGAGGCAGAGCACATCTGTCTCAGCTTGGTGAATGAAGGAACAAATATGCCTCATACAGATATGCTTCACACAGACTTGCTTAGCACTGGACTCCTTAGAAATTAATCAGCCAGAAGTGAATGAAGAAAAGCCCACAGAAGGGGCTGCACAGAATACCTGCTGCTGCCAAGGCTCAAATGAAACCATTCACAGGCTCACCCAGACCCTCAACTATGTTCCTACTTCCCTGGGAGAAAAAGAAAAAGAAAAATGAGATTATCAGGGCTTTCTGAATAGCAAGATGGCTTTCCTAATCTCAGGGCTTCATGGAGACCGGATAAGTGGGAATCAAATCAATTTGAACGAAGTCCAGCCAAATTGAATCTAGAAACCATTAGAGAGAGTGTAAAATAAAGGGCAGATTCACAGAAGCTGCAGGGGCAGCTGAGAAGGGGAGCTGGGAGAGTGGCCAGGCCAGGCAGGACCACACCTGCAGCCACCTGCTTCTACCAGCTGACCCTAGGAGAATGGGCTCAGCAGAGAACACCAGATCATTCTCCGAAGTTCTAATGCTGGCTCGCCAGCGCGGCCTGGCCAAATCAGCCTTCATCTACCACATAGGAGACTCGAAGACTGTTTGGACCTGCTTCTCACAACCTAAGCAGAAGAGGTAATTAAGATGTAGTCAGGAGGAGCACAAAGAATAGACCCCCGCCTCTCTCTCTCTCTCTCTCTCTCTCTCTGGAATCCAGAGCTATCGCGTTGTTTGGAAACAGCTCTCTGAAAGAAAGTGGCTGCTCCTGATGCAGGAAAAAGCTCCATGTTCTCCAAAGAACACGGGGGCAGAAAAAAATTCAGCACAAAGGGAAATTATCAGTCTTGGACACAGCGGACTCACGCACAGCCTGTATACTACCTGGTCCTCCGCCATGTCCTGCTGAGGTCAGAATCTGAGTACCTACCCGAACACCAAATCTGGTCTCACCACTCACTTGCTGTGTGACTTACAGGAATGCCTTGAGCTTTCTGAACCTTAGTCTTCTCAACTGCAAAATAATGGCAATAATTACACTCACCTTGTGGAGGTGGGAAAACAATGGATCGGCCAGGCGCACAGTGAGGGCTAATCATACATTCATTAATGATCCCAACAGCAGAGTGGAGACACGCTGACACAGTGTTGTGGGAATATGGGCAAAACCTCCAGATGCACATTGAAGTAAATTCAGACTGAGCTAATCGATGGCTTTAGGAGAGGATAAGCCCCAGACACTGGAGCTAAGTGAACCTTCTAGGAGGAGCATAGTCCCTCTTTCCCTTTCTCTCTGAAGAGTCTTGGATCCACAAGCTGAAGACATGATGCAGTTGAGTGGAATTGTGTGTTTAATCTCTCTGAGGAGAGCCACACCCATTTCATGTCATATTCTTTGCATATTAACACTTAACACTTGAAGGCGCTGTGACAGTTTTCAGAGAGTATACAGCGGTGGCAGCTGCGGTGGCGGCTGCGGTGGCGGCAATGGCAGCAGTGGTGGCATGGTCCCAAACTAGGGAGACAATAAGAAGAGGCCGAAAGCTGTTAGGAGTGGCTGTGTTGCCAGAACTTGCCTCGTCATCTGTCTCTAGACAGACCATTTGTTTAGGGGGCCTGTCCTCCATCACACTTGCCACTCTAAAGGGACTCGAAGGACCTGCATGGCCCCTGAAGGGACCAGTATATGATACCTATCTTGAATAGAGAGGTTTCACAGGTTTACATGAGAAGCAAAGTATGTCAGAAACTCCAGAGCAGAGCCTGTATGGCAGGGCACACTTGTAGAGACAGCAGAGTGGGTGGGGAGTGGGGGGAAGAAGGTAGGAAGGAAGGAAAGAAGGAAGGAAGGAAGGAACTTTAGAAGAAAAAAGGGAAGAGAAGGAAAAAGGCTGAGGAGGAAAAGGAAAAATAAAAAGGAGCTGACTAACGATTCCGTTCACAGGTGAGCACTTTAAAATCCCTGGTCTTGGGCAGGTGAGATGGTACAGTGGGTGAAGGCGCTTGCTGACAAGCCTGCCAACCTGGGTTCCATCCCGGGACCCAGAGTGGAAGGAGAGAATCAGCCCCCTCAGGTTGTTCTCTGACATATGCTGGGCTGCGGTGGACACTCCCCTTCCCAAATGACTAAGTCTGACTCAAAACAGCAGCTTTCCGCCCAGAGATGTGCTGTCCTCACTGAGGAGAACTGGGCTAGGTAGGGAGTTGCTCAAAGGAGAAAGATGATGGTGGAGACAGGGAATTCACGTGCTCTTGAGATTTCCCACAAGTCCTGTCCTAGTGAAATTTGGGCAGGTCTCTATGGCACACAGACGAGGGATCCAGTGCCATGAGCACTGTGGAGAATTAGCCACCCCTCCTGGTCTCTGAGCTCTTTCCCTTAATGCTGACGTGTAGCAGACTCCCCTTGCCCATTAACACATCTCCTCTTTCAACCAAGAGAGCAGGACTAAGGCTCTGTAGCGGAGACCTAAATGGCGTTTGCAGGGAAGCTCTTGCCTTTGTCTCTTCTTAAGTTTTATGGTTAGTTTTTGGTTTGCAAATCAGTCTGCTGCCCTGTGAGGCAGTGATGGGGAATTCCTTTTCTAAATTATTTCCCCAAGTTTTTTTTTTTTAATGTATTTGTTTTTAGGTTAGTAAGTAAATAATGGCACAGGTGACACCTGGGTGTGACAGAGAATAAAAAGTCATCGCAAGTGGGCATAAATATCCAAAGTTGGAAACCAGTGTCCTGCGGCACTGAGCACCTGGCTCGCCATGGTGGGTGTGCTGTGATTCGTCTAGAATAAAGCCAGGCATTTCTGATTGATATCAATGTGTTCTCTATCTGTCATCTAGCTATCTCTTAGTGTGTGGGGGTGTGCATCTGTTTTAGGATGTGCATGGATAGGTACGTGTGTGTGCGTGCACACAGGACAAAGACCAACGTATCTTTCCCTGTCTCTCTCCACCTAATGTTATGAGACAGAGTCTCTTGCCTAAGCTACAGCAAGCCTTGGAGGCCTGCCAGTCTCTGCCTCCTTAGCGCTAGGAGTATAGGCATGTCTGCCACATCCAGAGTTTTATGTGGGTACTGGGGATGTGAACTCGGGTCCCCATGCTTATGAAGAATGCACTTACCACCTAAGCCTCCTCCCAGCACCCCCCACCATGTACTTCTCAAGACAATTTCAAACCTGTATGTCTTTTTATTTTTATTTATTTGTTTTGGCATTTTTAAATATAAAGTAATGGGTTTCAGTATGGCATTTCCATACATACTTTGTTCTTATATGCCCCCAACTATGCTATGCTCTCCACTCCCCATCATTCATCACTTTCCCCATTCAGCCCCCCTTCTGGATTTATATCATATCTGTTCTATTACACACACACACACACACACACACATACTCACACACTTTGTATTTCTTCCTTCTCATGGTCAATCTTGACTTTGACACCGACTTAGGGGCATGGAAGAACCTTCTCTGAGAAGCAACATAAGAGCCACAGTTTCTACTTACAACACACATATACTCTTACATAAGAACAGGATTCCCACAGGACAGAAAACATGGCAGTTGTCAGAGTCCAGCTCATTCCACCTAACATAAGTGTTTCTATCCATTTTCCTGCAAATGTCACAATTTCATTTTTCTTTACAACTAAATAAAATCATTTTGTGAGCCAGGCAGTGGTGATGCACACCTTTAATCCCAGCACTCAGGGAGGCAGAGGTAGGTGGATCTCTATGAGTTCAAGGCCAGCCTGGTCTACAGGTTGAGTTTCAGGTCAGCCAAGGCTACACAGTGAAAACCTATCTCAAAAAAAACCTAAATAAATAAACATATGCTTTCTGTACAGGTGCCACATTTTCTTTATCTATTCATTGTTAAGGGAATTCATGTTAATCTAGGCTGATCCCATTTCTTAGCTATTGTGAATAGCATTTTTTTCAAGGTTTTACTATCTATCAGCCCTGTATGGCCTGAAATGTACTATGTGGACCAGGCTGAGACCACCTGCCTCTGCTTCTCAAATGCTGGGGTAAAAAGATGCACCACCACACCAGGCAGAATAACATTCTTTTTATGATTTATTTGTTTTTATTTTATGTGCATTGGTATTTTGCCTGCATGTCTGTCTATGGTGGAGTGTCAGACCCCCTGGAACTGGAGCTACAGGAAGTTGTGAGCTGCCATATGGGTGCTGGGAATTGAACCCAGATCCTCTAGAAGAGCAGCGGTGCTCTTAAGGGCTGAACCATCTCTCCTTGACTCTCATGTTGTTTTTATCTTTGTGGTTTTGGGAATTAAACTCGGGAACTCATGCATGCTAGGCAAGTACCCTGCCAATGGACCACAGGCCCTCACATGACCCTGAGCTGTGTCTCGCCCATATGTGTAATCCCTGGGTCATTCAAAGACAGAATGTGTTCTCACAGAACCGTCGGTGACAGGTTACTTCTCAGAGAGAGCTATTCTGTGCCTTTATTTAGTGTCAACAACAATGTCCAACTTCCACAACTGTCCTAGGACAGAAAAGAGTCACACCTGGCCCCCAACAGACATGTTTCCAGGGAAAGTATAGAGGAGTCCTCTGTGGCGCTTGTGCTGCACGGGAAATCCTTTACCAGGAACGTCTGCAGGTACTTACTGAGTATCTGTTTCATACCAAGCATCATTGTGGGATAGGAAAAAAGCAGAGTTCAAGAATGCAGAGGCTCAGCCACAGTGCTATAGGCAAATGGAATAGCATTGGAAGAAATCCCTCTCTGGATGCCTCAGTTTCTGCAGAAAAGTAGGAAACGAGGTTGACAGCAGGGGGGAAGGAGAGCAGATTGTAGAGTTTGGGAGGTAAAACATAAAATACACACGAGAGGGAGAAAAAAGAGCCAAATGTAGCGGTGCATGTCCCAATCATGCACATGAGAGGTGGAGGCAGGAGGATTGCCACAAGTTCTAGTCTGGCCTGGTTTACATATGAGAGCATATCTCAAAAAAAAAGATTGATAGACAGATAAAGATGTATACATAGATAGATACATAGATAAATAATAGAGATAGATGGATGGATAGATAGATAGATAGATAGATAGATAGATAGATAGATAGATAGATAAAATAAATACAAAGACAGAGATAATGCAGGACAGTGAGTGAACAGCTGAAAGGAATGAAGGAAGACAGAAGGATTGCAGGAAGCAGTAAGGCACCCTGGAGATCCATGGTTGGGTTTTCAGTGACACCTGTAAGCATGGTGATGGTGTTTCTACATCATTATTCAGCCGCACAGATGCAAAAGTGGAAGAGCTGATAACTTGGATTTAATTAGTACTATGATTTCACCAAGCAAGCATGAGGAAGTAAAAGCAGATCTTCAAGTACACCCCCAAAGAATGAGCCTAGGGGTTAGTCAGGATATGTACCCAGTTTGTAAGCCAAAGGGTTGTATGTATGAAACTGACGTAAGGTAGGACCATAATTATAGGTGAAAAGGTCCAAAACTGAGATGTGAAAAGAGGTCAGGGAACCAAGGGGCCAGATGCTTGTCTAATGAAATCAATAAGAATTAGTTCAGGATCAGAGACAGAGGCAGTACACCTCACAGAACTCAGGTGAGTAGCCCAAAGTCAGCCATGGTCCAGAGGCCGTATACAAAGGCAGAGAGAAGAGTGCCCTGTGAGAAGAAATAGCTCGAATTGTAGCAAGATAGGAAAGTGGCTATTAAAATCTGAAGACATGGCAGGCTTTCCTAAAGGCAGATTTGAACTCCAGGAACCCAGCGGAATATTTCAGAACTTTAAAAAGGTAGAAAGGGAACAGGAAAGAAGCAAACCCAGGATGTGACACCGGTCTTCAGGGTGCCTTCATGAGTAGAAATGAGGAGCATAATGAGCTCGGTCCTTCTGGACTCCAGCCTGATGGTTCTAAGGAGCATGGAAATGCAGTGAGGCAGGAGTATGGGGTTCCTTGGGTCATGGTGGCAGGAGGTCAGGATGCGTTAGGGGATGCTGTCTTACTCAGAAAAACTGGACCATCCACAAGATGTGTAGGACTCGTAAGTCCAAATGCAATGGCTGGGGTGCTCCACCTGTAATAGGGTGAGTCTCTTGATCTCTCTCTCTGAAGGACAGGAGGTCTAGAGAAATGGACTTAAGGACAAAAAGTCTGTTCATCATCATTTCTAGCCCTGAAGACTTTCCCCCGTGAGCCAGCCTCAGCGTAGAGCCCCAACCCAAAGGTCTTGCACCACGATCACATTCGATACACGTCCTCCTGGATGGTGACTGCCTCTAGCTTCTGACACACTGCCTGGCCTGTGATATCTCATATGAGGGGCTGGAGAGATGGCTCAGCGATCAAGGGCTCACACAATGGCTCACAACCATCTATAACTCTAGTCCCACGAGATCCAATGCCCTCCTCTGGTGTGCAGGCAGAAAAAAAAAAACACCCATATACATAAAGGACATGAAAAAAACAAGTCTAAAAAATAGTTTGTATGAACTCCTTCAAAAGAAACATGTATTAGTTGAGTTATCCAAGTACCCGACTCTATAGAGAGCTTTTTACATGTTTCCTCCTCTGGTCACATCAACCCAGTGAGGTGGGAAAAATTACAGTCTTAATTCAAAACTGAAGAACCTAAAGTTAACAGACCGACAGAAACCTAGCCAAGGTCACACAGCAAGGGCACTTGAAGTTGGTATCTGTCCATTCTACAACTGACCATTGTAATCATGACATGGTGGTTATCAGCGACCACACTGAGAGTGACAGCTTCTTCCTTGGACACATATAAGAAATCTCTGGAACACAGAGAGATAGCTCAGCAGTTAAGAGCTCTTGCAAAGGACCCAGGTTTGGTTGCTAGCACTGACGTGGTGGCTCACAACCATCTAAAACTCCAGTTCCTCCAGCCTCTGTGGGTACCATGCATTAGGTACACTAACACACATTTTTTAAAAAATATTTTTTTAAAGAATCTCTGGTTCCTGTTCCCAGATATCGCCACCCTCTTCTCTTAGATCTCACACCTAACCACCCATTTTGTTTTGTGTTTTGCAAGACCCCCCTGCAGCCTCCCATCCCTGTGGTTTCAGAAGTCTTTATTTTTTTCTTCTGCCATAGATGTGAAAAGCTGGCTTGTGATGTTTGGATTTCAGCTCAGCAACATCATTCCTGGATTCCCAAGAGCCAAAATGTATTTTGTGCCTCCCCCCTATGAATTGTCAGAAAGTCAAGCAAGTGAGAATGGACAGGTAAGTGGCAGAGTCAGGGGGAGGGCACTTGACAAGAACTCACAAGAGTTCCTTTTCATAGATAGTGCCACACAGGAGGCACTTGGGAAAAGACCACTGAGGCTGGGTATAAAAGCTGTGCAGGAACAGAGACTTACTTCCCCGGCAGAGAGAATGCCATTGCCATCCTTGCCATCCTTGCCCATATTTCTTCCCAACCTCAATAATTACCTTAATTGTGGTATCATTATCTATTCAGTATCTACCCTCTGGTCACTCCTTGATTAACAATAGCCCTGAGAAATCCAGTGGCAACCTGCCATCGGCACTGCTGTAAGATCATAACCCTTTCAGCTTTTATGGGATGTAATAAAACTGTGGTTTGCAGTTTCTGTCCCATTAAAGAACATTTTTATGCCCTACATAAAACCTCATGGCGTTATGGCCCAAATGCATACAGATTGAGTTTTTTAGAACATAATGTGTGCCTGGGTCTTCCTCTGACAACCAAAAGGTGGTCAGTTTCAATTTGGGTGCAGCTGAGACCTCAGCCACGAGCAGCTGAGCAGCTGGAGAACTGCGTTGAGCTGGCCAGACACCCCACCCCCATGATACAGTACTGGGGCTCTGCTCTGTGGAAGTCTAGAAGGTCTCAGCTGCTCTGAATAGTCAGCCAGATTGTGTGACTATAGAGAGACAAGGAGGAGCTTCTGGGTAATTGAGAATGGCATTCTACCCATCCTGCCCCTCAGGGACCACTCAGTGGATGAATAGCCATCATTTCTCTCATTTATCTAAGTGCCGTTACCTCCCAAACACAGCCTCTTCCATTATCCCAGCCTGTCCCCCAACCACCAATTGAGACAAGTTGTCATTTGTGAGTGGAGAACTCAAGGCCAAGGAGATAATGGTGATTTCATTCCTCTGCAGAACCAGGGCCGAGATCCAACAAAGCACAGGGCTCAAAGTGGGGAGGAGGGGATAGTCATTCCCTTGGGCCCTCGCAGCCTGGGTCTCTTAGCCTAGAGCTCTCAAATATGACTATGCACACAAATCACCTAGAGTACCTGGCTAGGATGCCGCCTCAGCACAGTGACCTGACAGCTGCTTTACTTACAGGGCAGTGAGTCCCACTGATCCCTCCGTGGCTGGCCTCACTGAGTAAAGGCAGTAAATATCCAAGCCCCTGGTTTTGGAGCAGGGCTGGTTACAACATTGGGACTGCCAGCTGCTCAGACACCTGGGCCCACGTCAGGACATCCCTGGCACCACCCAGGCAGCTGCTGCACCACAAACACAAATTCCCTGGCTCACACAGTTGAGGGAATGCAGACTCAGACAAGATGGAGACCCCCTTTCGGCATCTTTCAGTGAGTGGCGTGCTGACAAGATTGGCAGAGCATCCCGTTAGGGGACTGGGAACCAGCCACATGGGGCTGTATCGGTGTGTACCGGCACAGCATAGTAAACCCTAAAGGGGAGCACCCAGATCTCTCTCTCTAGTTTCTGTTTCAGAGACTGTCTACACTGCCTTCTGACCTTTTCCTTTTGCCTTGTGCCTACAGCTCATCACAGGAGTCCAGCAGACAACAGAGAGGCATAACCAGGCCTTCCTGGCTCTGGAAGGACAGGTCATCTCTAAAAAGCTCCATGCCAGCATCCGAGAGAAAGCAGGCCACTGGTTTGCTACCACCACGCCGATCATCGGCAAAGGCATCATGTTTGCCATCAAAGAAGGGCGGGTGACCACAGGTGTGTCCAGCATCGCCAGTGAGGACAGCCGCAAGGTGGCATCTGTGTTGAACAACGCCTACTATTTGGACAAGATGCACTACAGCATTGAGGGCAAGGACACGCACTACTTCGTGAAGATCGGCGCGGCGGATGGTGACCTGGTCACCCTGGGAACCACCATCGGGCGCAAGGTGCTGGAGAGTGGGGTGAATGTGACCGTGTCACAGCCCACGCTGCTGGTGAATGGCAGGACTCGAAGGTTCACCAACATTGAGTTCCAGTACTCCACGCTGCTGCTCAGCATCCGCTATGGCCTCACCCCTGACACGCTGGACGAAGAGAAGGCCCGAGTCCTGGACCAAGCGAGACAGAGGGCCCTGGGCACTGCCTGGGCCAAGGAGCAGCAGAAAGCCAGGGACGGGAGAGAGGGCAGCCGCCTGTGGACGGAGGGTGAGAAGCAGCAGCTCCTGAGCACGGGACGGGTACAAGGTTACGAGGGCTATTACGTGCTTCCGGTGGAACAGTACCCGGAGCTGGCAGACAGTAGCAGCAACATCCAGTTCTTAAGACAGAATGAGATGGGAAAGAGGTAACAAAATAACCTGCTGCCACCTCTTCTCTGGGTGGCTCAGCAGGAGCAACTGTGACCTCCTCTCCTAAGGAGATGAAGACCTAACAGGGGCACTGAGGCCAGGCTGCTTTAGGATCCCAAGTGGCAAGAAAGCTCACATTTTTTGAGTTCAAATGCTACTGTCCAAGCGCAAAGTCCCTCATCCTGAAGTAGACTAGAGCTCGGCCACAAATTCTGAGGAAAACGAAAACAAAAAGGATGAATGAATGAATGAACAAACACACAAAATGTTTCAAGTTCCCCTAAAAATATGACCCACTTGTTCTGGGTCTAGCCGCAGAAAAGAGACGCAGAATAGCCAAAAGGAAAGGAGCAGAAAACAAACAAACAAACAAAAACAAAGGCAAACAAAAAGACGAACACACCGAGACCGTACAAACGAAGAAATGAAGACGAGAAGGCCTCACATCTAATACCTCACTCATTCACCACGTGAGCAACGCAGAGACATTCACGAGGGCCGGCGTCACCAGACCAGCTGAGGGCGACTCAGACTGTTGGACAAACACTTCCCGACGTTTTCGTTTAAGCAAATACAGGTGCATTTAAAAAACATGACTTTGGGGGTGATTTGTGTGTAGCGCCTGGGGAGGGGGGGGCACAAAAGTGGAGGAGCGAGCACTGGAAATACTTTTTAAAGAAAAAGAAAAACACAAGAAAAAAATTAATATCAGAAGTCAAAGCGAAAACAATACCGTCCAGCACTTAACTCTCAGGTCACTACTTAGTCGGGCCTGAGCTAATTTATTTGAGCGCAGAGTGTAAAATTTAATTCAAAACGGTGGCTATACTCACTACACATAAATCTCATAATCTTTTTGTCTTTGGAGATTCCATTGTGGACAGTAATACGCAGTTACAGGGTGTAGTCTGTTTAGATTCCGTAGTTCGTGGGTATCAGTGGCGGTAGAGGTTCGACATTTGTGACTCTGTTGCTAACGGTACCACTTCCGATCGCCCTGTACATACATACGCCGCAAGGCACGATCACTGTTTCAGACTTAAAATTATTAGTGTGTTTGTTTGGTCCAGAAACTGAGACAATCACATGACAGTCACCACGAGGAGAGAAAATAAAAAATAAATAAAAACAAAAAAAGTTTAAAAAATTAAAAAAAAAAAACTCACAAAAAAAAAAGTCTAAGAACTTTGGTACAGGAACTTTTTTGTAATATACATGTATGAATTGTTCATCGAGTTTTTATATTAATTTTAATTTGCTGCTAAGCAAAGACTAGGGACAGGCAAAGATAATTTATGGCAAAGTGTTTAAATTGTTTATACATAAATAAAGTCTCTAAAACTCCTGTGGACACTGGTCTTCTGTGGAAATGCTTTATAATGCAATTGCAGCGGTTCTCAACGTGTGGGCCACGACCCTCAGAGGGGGGTTACGTGTTAGATAACCTGCATATCAGATATTTACATGACAGTTCAGAACAGCAGCAAAATTATGGTTTATGAAGTAACAACAAAAATAATTTTATGGGGGGCTGGAGAGATGGCTCAGTGGTTAAGAGCATTGTCTGCTCTTCCAAAGGACCAGGGTTCAATTCCCAGCACCCACATGGCAGCTTACAACTGTCTGTAATGCCCATCCCAAAGGATCTGATACCTTCACGCTAATGTACATAAAATAAAGATAAGTTATAAAAAAATTAAAAAAAAATTTATGGTTGGGGATGGTCACCACAGCATGAGGAGCTATATTAAAGGGTTGCAGCCTTGGGAAAGTTTAAAACTGCTACAACAGAGGCCGGAGGAACAAGAGCTGCTGGGATGGGTGCACAGAGCCGGAAGTGGTCAGGGTCAAGGATCCCTGGTCCCAAAAGCTTGGAACCAGGAAAGCTAGAGGTTTAGGATTTTTTTCCAATTTTAGAACAAGAGCACATATATAGTTAGAGATCCAAGCGTGCAATTCACTTATGGTTCATAAACATGATACACAGAACCTGGAGGTCATCGATATACAGTGGGACGGAGTCTCTCTATAAAGTTCCTGAGGGAACTCACTGTGGAGACCAAGTTCAAACTTGCAGAAACGGCCTACCTTTTCTCCCAAGTGTTGGGATTAAGGAAATGTGCCTCCACACCTGGCAACGTGGTGCTTTTAATAATTTTAAGCCTATAACAATTTCATCGTTTGGTATTTTCTAGTTGCCTTGTGTCTGTGTTCACAAACTTAAGGTTTGAGGGGTTTTTTTGGGGGGTTTTGTTTTATTTGTTTGTTTAGGGATATTCAGCCTGTCCTTAGACCATCTTGAAAAAGTAAAACAAACAAACGTTTTGCTTTATTTTGGTTTGGGGTTTTGTTTGGGAAGAAGGGCTCCTTTTGTTTGGGTTTTGCTTGAGGGGGAGGGAACATGGAGACAGGGCCCCATGTACTCCGAGCTCTCCTCAGACATGCTATGTAGTTGAAGTTGACTTTGAACATCTCACCCTCGCTACCTCCACCACGCAAGTTCTGAGATGACAGGTGTGTACCCCCACACCCAGCCCTGGAGCATCTTTGATAGTGTACCCCCAAATACTTTAGTCTGAGACCTCACTCTAGGAGGCAGGAGAACCTGGCCTTGTTGAGGGGCTGTGAGGACCCTCAGCCCTCCTGGGATGGGTGGACCTCTCTCTCTGCCACCACGTTCTAATTTTGGAACTCAGTAGCAGAAAATCCAGGGTGATCATGCTCACCCCTTTTGGAAGCTTGCACAATGTTTGTGATCACAGATTCTTCTTTCCCACTAGATAAACTTACTTCCACACTTAAACACCTTGTGAAAATCAGGTAACAAAAGCCCTTTTGGGTTTTAATCTATTTTTGTTTTATACTACTTCTACAGGTAAAATATCATCAACAGCCGGTAAGCATCTGTGCTTTCTGCTCTCAGTGGCTTGCTGCTCTCAGTGCTGAGGGCTCTGCAATGCAGCATTTCCATGGAACAGCATTTTATTGAGAACTCACCAGAGAGGCCAGGCCTGGGGTGCAAAGAGAAGCAGGCACAAACAGGAGCCCACACCTCATGAAACTTTCAGGCAGATGAATGGGGAGAGGGTAGACCAAGAATGACTGTGGAAATGAAAGCAGCAAGGGGGTTTTGGTGTCAAGAAAGGGATATAAAGTGACAGAGCAGGCTCTGAAAGTTCAGAGGGACTTAGCCAGGTGAACAGAAGGGAACCCACTCCCAAGGCAAAGACCAGAGGACACAGAGGAACTGTGGCAGAGAGAGCAAAGTCAGGTCAAGTGCAGGCCAGGTGGGTGGTGAAGCCGGAGCACAGAAGAGCTGGTTGGGTTCAGAAGATGCACATGTTAAAGCCTGGATTCTTTTAAACATTGGTAGCAACAGGAAGCCGTTCATTTCAATGTCACAAGTGAATCCTGTGGATGTGGTTTGCAGAACAGGTAGAGGCAGCTGATATAGTCTCATAAGTGAGGTGAGGAGGAGGCTGAGGGGACCATCAGCCTCGGCACTTCAGAGGAGAGTATGGAGGTAGGTTGAGAGAGAGGGAGCACGAAGCTGCTCTCCTGTGTCACTCAGGTTGCAGGCGGGGAATGCTAACAGACAGCTCCCATCTGGTGTGTGGAGGAATCAGACTGTGTCCTTAACATCTCCTGGAAATCTGAGGCCTGTCACCCTCAGACCCTCCTGAGATCTCCAACCCGATGCCTTCCAGTCAGTTTTCAAGTGGCCTCCACAAACAGGGAGGCAGCGCTTTAGCCTCACTTAAACCAGGCCTCAGGAGTCACCGGCAGAGCAAGCCATGATTAATAAGGAAAAGGAACACGGAGCATCCCTCTCAGATTCAGATGTACTGGGATGGGGCTGTCTTCCTTGGAAGGAGGGGCTAGAGATAGCTCTTTCTGTGGGCTTTGGAACTTGAAGACACGATCACAGAACAGCCTCAGATGCTGGTGGTGGAAGCTTCGGTGAAATGAGCTACCGTGAAGTCTCACCGGGTAGATACACCTGGGAAAGCCTTACAGGGAATTGGCCCCAGACCATGGGCCAGGGGCCACTAATTCAGTCCAGGACTTCTGTGCCCCTGCAGCCTCTTGAATACTTCCGAGATCCACATGACAGAAGAATTTCACAAAGCAGAAGAACATCTCCTCATTGAGGTCCATCCACCATCTTTGAAATAACCTTCAGGTTTCTGTTGTATCCCAGCAAATCCATCCACTCTGAACAGCACAGAGATGCATCTATAGGAAAGGGAAACAGCTGTGGCTGAAAAGTCCCTCTCCTCTCCTCAAGCCAGGATGATGACTGGTGGAGGGTTCTGGAAAGGCTGAGCAGCCTAATGGTCCTTTAAAGGCATGCCTGAGAACCAGTTCTCACTCAGCTACCCACGAAATGTGGACATGGGGCTGGGGATGTGGCTCAGGGGTGTAGCACCTGCCTAACCAACTAACCAACCTATGCAAGAGCTGGGTTCCACCCCCAGCTTTGCAAAAAGAAAAAAAAAAAAGACTGTGCAAAGTGGCCAGGATGGTACACACCTTTCCTCCTAGCATTCCAGAAGCAGAGTCGGGGAAATTTGTTTGAGTTCGAGGCAAGCCTGGACTATGTAGCAAGTTCCGGGCCAGCCAGGGCTACATGGTGAAACTATATCTTTAAAGAAAAAAGAAACTAAATGTGAGGGAGAATATTTTAAACTAGAAAAAGTTACATGTATCAATTAGATTTAAAAAAAAAAAAATTAGCTACTTAGAGGATTCAATACAAAATAACACCCCCTCAGAACGCCCATTTCACTTAGGCAGTTTGCACTGTGCCTCAAGGCACGGGTGATGATTAGATGACACGAGGTAAGGGGTTAATATTACGTGATTTCATCATACTTGTTCCCAGCATAGGCTTGGGTTTTTTGTTTGTTTGTTTGTTTTGTTTTGTTTTTTGTTTGTTTGTTTTTTTTAACAGTGTCATTGTGAATGGGGGAGGGGCTTCTCATGCAGCAGCTAGTCAGGATTAGGGGATTGGGTCCTCACCGCCACACACAATGCTGTCACCCTGTCAAGAGTGCCTCTCCCTCCTCCTCCCACCCTCCCAGGCCCAGAGAGCTCCAGCAAGCGCTTTCAGCAGCCGACCCTTGTTCGAGGCCTTAAGGGATTGTCAGAAAGAGTGACATTTAGAAGGTCGAGGGTCTCAGCAACATGAAGTCTGGCTGTCTAGGTGGTAGACATCAGTTCAAGCATTTATCCACTTATCGACATTCCCAGTCACCGGGCACGGCCCGTCCCTGGCACTGTCAGAAGTAGGCAATGCAAAGATGACTAAAACCTGCCCGAAAGCCTCTCCGTCGGGTGTGAGACGAACTCACAAGACAAGCGGGACACGGCGGGTTCGGAGCCAGTGGGGAAGTCGACAAACCAGAGCAAGAAGCAGGGAGAAGACCCGAGAAGATGTCTCCGTGAACATCTGAGAAGGACACAAGCAGGCAAGAAGGCCGGGGAATGCGCTAGAACAAGTCAGAGTCCATATACAAATAGACCGCCTGCTCCCTGTGACATCACCTGGGGAATGAGGGATATGTGTCTCAGGGATGGAGGCTTGCGGAGCAGGCACAAAGGCCGTGCGGTTCACCCCAGCACAAAGGAAGGAGATGGAGGAATCACCTGGGAGCCTTCAACAGAAGCCCCAGACCGGCAATCAGGACCTCTCCTAAATTATGAGCCAGGTGTTGAGGCCCAGGCAGTCCCTGGACGCGATTTAAGGCGGAAGGGGCGGGGCCTAAGATGAGGCCCTCTCCACCGTGTGGGCAGAAAGAATTCAGGTGCCAGACTCAGACCTAGGAGCTGAGACATCTCTGTTCACCATTGCCAGGTACGTGCTTGCGTGGGGCTGGTATAAATGCGTAGAAATGAGAGAAGAGGGGACTGTCAGAGAAGAGGGAGAAGAGAGCAGAATGGGCTGGGGGGTCTTTTGGGACACCAACCTGGTCAAGGAGTGGGGATCTGTAACTTCTTGGAGTGTCTGCATGGGTTAAACTAAAGCAGGAATCCTGGCAAGGCCTTACTTCAGGTCCTTCACCTCCCCTATGTGAAAGGACACCGCACTTACGGGAGGCGAAGCGAGGAAGCTATTAATAAGGCCTGTTCTGCTCCGACCCGCTCACACCCACGCCCCACGCTGAGTCCTGGGACAGCTAGGTAGTTCCGTTGCACGCCACTGACACCCGACTTCAAAAGCAAAGCCATACAGCCTCCCCCGTGTCTACTACACCTGTTCTCCAAAGCGCCACTTTCCCAAGCCTTGGTCTCCTCCCTTTGGCCACGAGGTGGCAGGCTTTCCCAGTAAATCTTGCCAGGCTCCGTGTTTGCCTTGAGGGTGGTTCTACCAGGAG